TTTATTTTATTTTATTTTATTTTTTTAAATCGGTCTTATTTGATTTCATTTCTTTATGCTTGGTGGCACAAATTCCACAGGAGAGATGAAGATTACCCCAGCCGTAGCTGTGCCTCTCATCTGGTGTTTAGGGCTTTCTTCTGGGAAACAGAAGATGGTTACATGAACTTCCTCATGCTGAGGCTGCTGCTTCCTGAAAAATTGCTCTGACTATTGGGTTATTCCATGTCCTCTGCCATCAGCTGCTGCTTAAAAAAAAAAAAAAAAGTGAATCAAATGCTGTAAAGATAGAGGCATCTTAATTCCCTACAAATACGAAGGGAGGTGGAACCATAACTCTTATGTGTTTTAATTTGTATTCTGGAAGTTGGGCAGTGCCAAGAATTACCACTCTTCTTCCGGGTGATTCAGTGGAAATTCTGTGGTAAAATAGGCAACTACCTTCTGTTGAACAGGCAGAAGATAGTCACTATCCTCTTTTCAGTTCTTAATTATGTAGCTAAGTTGTGTATTTTGACTATTATTTGTTCCTTTTAAAATTTAGTTCTCCAAGCTTTACCATGGTGTGAAGCGTTCATCAAATCCCCCCCACATATTTGCCTCTGCGGATGCTGCCTACCAAAGTATGGTTACATTCAGCAAAGATCAGGTAAGAATCTTTTCATTTTGTTTTAGATTTCATATTAATCATACTGCTGCTACATGGCTATGGCTAATATTATGTGTACTTTGGGAAATTTCTTCTTTAAGGCTTTTATTCCTACATCAGGAAAACCAGAGTAGAAATCTAGTCAGTTTTGGGAATTCTGAAGAGGATGCAGTGGCATAAAAGAGACTAAAAGGTCAAATATGGTGATAGGGTTACCTGACCATATAGTTTCCTGGACACTCATGAAGTCCTGGCAGTTGACATCAGCTGCAGAGTGTTGCTGTACACTCTGATTCTAGCCTATCTTGCTCTAGGTGTTGTAATAAATTACACCTGTGTAAAATAGGAGGGTTTCAATACCGTAGCAAATTAACAGAGTTTGAACCACTTTTCCAGTGCTTAGAGACACTACCAAGCAATGGATAGTCATTAACTGCAAGTCATAAAAAATAGGAACCATTAACTAAATTTTTATAAAAATGTATTAAGGATAGGTCAAATAGAAATATAATAAGGACACAAATGTAATTAAATAGCAACGATTTTACTGAGAATGAAATACCATGATGTAGAATCTAGATTTCTTTTTTACCTTCTTAAGATTGTAACTTCATACTCTTTCTAATTTGATGTGCTGTATGTACATGAAAATTGGGGGCTAATAATGATTTTTATTTATAAAATCCTGATTTTACCCTGCACATCACACAATAATTCATAGAAAATGATTTTTTTAAATCACAAAAGCAGAATAAAATAATAAAAAACCTGCAATAAGAAAATACCAAGCAAAGATGACAAATAAAAGGGACATTGAAGATGAAGAATAAAGGACTTCTACTGAGTATGTGGAAGTACACTGGCCTGGGAGACGGATATTAGTTCTTTAATGTCTTGTATGCTCTTTTATGGAGGCATTAAAGAAAGCAAGTACTCATATAGAATAAGTTATGTGAAAACTTGTTATCTGGGGAAAAAAAATAGTTTTGACGTCATCCCATCAGGATAAATTTGTACATCTTTAGTATTGTATGTTTCATACCTGTTTAGGAAGTAATTTGTATTTAGATCTAAATCAGTTTCCTATTTTCTGTTTGCAAGGAATTACAGGAGCATGTTTCTCCTCCTTACCTGGCCAATGTTATGTTGATTCTTCAGGTAAAGGTGCATTAGATAAACACCATAGCTAGATCAAAAATACATTGATTCTGTTTGTTTTATCCATTGAGCTTTCGCTTGTATTTTTCTGTGAAGCCTGAAAATTGACACCTGGTCTAACGTTTCTTCTGAAGCTAAAGTCAAATTCTAGCCAATTCTACAGGAGTTTTATAGTTCTACAAAAACTCATAGGCTCTAACTGTATAAACTGTTGTATGTGACTTCTCTACTCACATAAAGACAGTTCAGTTAGGTATTATAACCCTGTAAATTCATCATTGGGTTATGTGTTTCCAAGAACAAAAATACCTGACAAGAAGCAAATAAATGAGCTGCAAATGTCATTATTTAGAGCCAGTCCCTGCACCTGCCGTCAGGCACCACAAGACACCACCTGAGAACTGCTACATCTTTCAAACCTTTTCACAAAGCTCTGTTCTATTTGAAGTGTCATTGCACCAAGTATTTTAGGGCCATGTATCTTCTCCCAGCCAAGAATCTTGTATGTTCACAGTGTGGTGCAAATAATTTCCAGGTGTTTGCATTTCATACATGAATCCATGCAACTGCTCACTGTTAACATTTTAATTATATGCCAATTGATACTGTACCTTACATAGACTAGTATTTGTACTGGTGATCTGTAGAAAACATGAAAAAATGGTAAAATAATAAATGCTGTTAGAATTCTTTCTTGCTATGACCCGAAGTGCTCACACTTCAGTATTCAGTTGTGAACTGGCCTTCAAGGTATACTGACCTTCTATATCCATCTCACCTGTGAAGTGTAACAGCAGAGGAGGATACCAAGTGATTTAGACCATTCTAGTTAATCCCTATAAACCTATAGAACCTATAAAATACCATGTGTCAAGGACTGCTGACTCAGGAAGATGGTGGATACGTTCTTCCAGAATCATCCAATGAACAGACACATGTTTTTCTGAAACGTTTAGATGCTACTTTGGTTTGAATATCAGCATCACTTGCAGAATAACTTCTCTATACAGCAGCAATTATTTAAGATTATTTTTAAAGCCAGGAGCAGACATTATTAAATGTGTTACAGTGTATTAAATACAGCTGTAGGCTGTTAATTCACATGAAATCAATGCAGTGAGCTCAGATGCACTGTTGAATTATGTCACATCAACTGAGCTGAGGCAATTTTCTGAGTTTTAAGCATTTGAAACAAGCTGCATATGTGCATAGCGTGTCAGCCTGCAAATGTGGTCACTCGTTTATGTGTCTTAACCCTTAGAAATTCAGTCAGTGCTTCACACATCTGCATATTGCTATTGGGCATTGTGAGACACATTTTAGTAATCTGGGAAATAAATTATTACACTGAGCCTTTGCTGATCTTTCCTTCCAGAAGGGAGTTGAGGGAGTTGACCTTTAAAGTATTTTGTAGTCTTGGAACTAAACATTAAATAACAAATAGAAGTGGTAATAGCTGAAATCGACCGGGTGGTGAGCTGTGCGCTTAACTGTTTTGGTTTGTGTGTTCAGTGCATTATCATCAGTGGGGAAAGTGGTGCTGGAAAGACAGAAAGTGCCCATCTGATCGTCCAACATTTGACCTTCTTGGGAAAGGTATTTCTTAGCCAATCATGTAAAGCTATGAACAAATCCTCCTAACCCCACACCCAATTTCCACTTTATTTCATGTTTAATACTTAAAGCTGTTGATGTGAATTCTCCCATTTGAGTTAGGAACAAAATAATCATGCATGTAAGAGTACTGAATTAAGATAATGGAGTATGACACGCACCAAGGTGTTCAATATATTTTTAAGAGAAGATGCCATATCCTGAGTGTTCAGTGCCTGTAGTTATCTACAGTGTTTATCACATATACCGTTGTTCATTTATACAATAAAGAATGAGAGATCTGGCTATGGCTCCAGTCTTAGAATTTCTTACACATTTAAGTGTTATGAGTAATGCTATAAGTGCAAAATGATGGGAAAATCAAGTGTGTAAGGTTGACTTTAAGTAGACGTGTTTAGTTCTTGATGGTTTTGGTACTCTAATTATATGACACCTCAGAGGCAGAACAACTGCAGAGAAAGAAGAATCTGTTTTCTCCTACCTGTGGGAGACTTCATCAATTTATTGGCCCCGTTGTTGTATAAGTAGAACAATTAACGCAGTATCTAAGTCTGTACAAGTATGAGAAAGGGCTGCTATGCTTCTGAAGCAAGATCTGGATTGTAAGTAAGCAACATAATCTTTTAATGATCCTTCTGTTCTGGATCTGTTCTGTCAAGGCCAATAACCGTGCTTTGCGTGAGAAAATTCTTCAGGTGAATCCTCTGGTTGAAGCATTTGGGAATGCCTGCACTGCCATCAATGACAACTCAAGTCGCTTTGGAAAATATCTGGAAATGATGTTTACGCCCACAGGAGCTGTAATGGGGGCAAAGATTTCTGAATATCTACTTGAAAAATCAAGGGTCATAAAACAGGCTGTGTAGGTATATTAATTGGTCTGTCCTTTCACATTTATAAAATAATTTTTGGATTCTGTCTAATTCTCAGATATTCTTTATTTTAAATGCTGTTGTGTCTTCTGTTAAAGCAGTGATCCCTTTTACAATGTTATGATGACAAGAACAGTCAGTTAGGTTCTTCTGGACTGGAAGCCAGAGCTGCTCCATTCTTTGGAGAAGTGTTACGGTTCTGGGTTTTCTCTTTTTTCATGGTTGCTGATCCTACACCTTAAAAACAAGTGGCAGATTTGCTGTTTACTTCAGTTAGCTCATGATAAGAGCTTCTACTTTTACATTGTACAATATGCCACAAGAATAAACACGTGTGCTTTAAAAGGATACTTTTTTTTTTCCCCCAGGGGAGAGAAAAATTTCCATATATTTTATTATATTTATGCTGGCCTTTATCATCAGAAGAAACTTTCTGAATATAGACTTCCTGATAAAAAGCCTCCTAGGTAACTATCACTCACTTGTTTTAACTGCTCATTGTAATTAGCTATTGATCAGCTCTTCCTTTCAGTATGATGCCTTAAAATCTCTCTTAATCCTTCTCCATCCCTTAAGGACTTTTTTTAATCCTCCCAAGCAAAGAAGAGGATGGACAATAAGGCATTAAATTATTTGTAGTTGTTTGAGAACTTGAACTATTTGAAGAGGAGGAGGAAGAATTGAGATTATTATTGTGTAGATATTCTGTCATACTTTCAAATCAGGAAATGTGTGTGAGATGTTGGTAGCACCGTGATAGATATTAACAAAAAATAAGCAAAAGTTAGTGCAACAGGAACAAAACCTTCTTATGAATTAGCACCAAAGTATATAATTGGAAGATGCTGAAACAAATGTTCTTTCCAGTTACTGAGTTACTTGCATTGAAACCACTGGAGATTGTACTGGCATATCTGGTAGTGTGGTGCTTTCTTTCTCCCACTCTATTTAGATATATCGATAATGAAACTGGAAGAGTAATGCATGATATTGTTACTAAAGATTCCTATGGAAGACAATTTGAAGCGATTCAGCATTGCTTTAGAATTATAGGATTCACTGACGAGGTAAGAGATCCAGCTGCT